CTATTGTATCTCCTTCTTTGTACGTATCAACTTGAGAGAAAAAAATGAAATTTTTTTGAATTAAAATAATATGTATCACAACGAGAAATATAGGAATATAATAGCGCGAATAAAAATTCTACAATTCTATTGTACGAGTATATTTGCAGAAAAAGAATCTAACAAAGAGATACTTCGCTGATTTAGATCGCAGGGAAATTAGAGGAGATTATCAAATCATCACTCGTATAAAACCGTTTCCCCGAATGGATTTTAGAAACCAAATGATAATTGAAAATTAGAAAATTTTAAAAATATTATAAATTCTTTAGATTAATATATTTTAGATGCCGAATCTTCATCGTAGAAAGTTAGCAGTGTTATCATAAATTTTTTTATATAAGGAGAAAAAACACTTTTTTGTAAGTAAATTTTTTCAATTGAAGTGATATGATAATCATACATATATAGATTTATTAGCTTCTTCTATATAATGTAAAAAAAGAAAAAAAAATAAAAACGTAAACAAAATATAAATTTTTTAATTTTTAAAATATTTTATGATTTTTAATTACTTATTATTCGGCTTTTAGGCATTAAAAAAAACGGCTTTACAGGTATTAATTTAGGAGTCCCATCTAAAATCTCTACAATTAATCAAAATTAGTAAAAAGAAGTGAGTAATCTCTCCTCGTAAACAAAATAAATTTGATAAATTAATTATTAGCTAATTATCGTTGAATTCGTATATGAAAAATAGAATTCGTAATTTTAACAAGTCGACCTATAATTAAATCGAAATCAGACAAACCGATTTCACATTGTTACAAAATAGTAGCCAAACAATCGTACTGTGTGCCAAGACGAATATAAATTTCCCGTCAAGATGCCCCATCACTATGTGATAATTAATAGCATTAAATGTCTCATGTTTCTCATATTTTAATGAATTGCATCAGCCTCTTCAAACAAAAAAATTAATGTTACTTTGTAACTTAAAAATAAAGGAAAAAAATTCGTTATATGTATGTAGGACATTCATTCCTTCATTCGTTCCTTTATTTTTCAAATCACAGAAGAACATCGATTATTTTTGTTAGTTGTTGAGATATTATCAATCTCATCGAGCAGTGTTCGTGCAAAGAAGAAATATCGATCGGAACATCATCGGAACTAAAACGATTCTCACGGACTGGCGGCAACATGTAATCCACATTTGTTCATTTCGCTCGTCTATATGTATCGAGTAATTATTTTAAAACGGAGTAGATATAAGAGCGTCAACGTATCGATAAAAAAATACACATTGCTAAGATAAGAATGCAACAAATGTGACATTTCGACATGCGGTATGGATGCTCTTATGTCTCCGGGGATGGTCCGCTGATTTCGAACGGCTGTGGCTGCGGGATACACAATGTAAGTTATTCTATTTATACGGTTGCACGGTCACGGGGAGAACGAAAGAAAGAGAAAGAGAGAGGGGGAAAAGAGAGAAAGAACGAGAGACTGGTTTCGCAACACGGTCTCGTCAACGTCGCGTTTTACGCGCCGCGAAGTTAAAACGGAGCGCAGTATTTTGAGGACTCGTCAAACGTAACGTAATGTGCGCGTGCTTGATCGTGATTTATTTCTAGCAGCCTGCTCGTTATCGGAAGATCGAGGTCTTCACGAAGAAATTAATTTCGTGACGAACACATCTAAAATTATTACAAATTCTTAATGTTTCTCTAATCTCCTAAAAAGGTTAAACGATTTATACATTCATGGAAAGGATTTTGACGAAGTATATCCAACACAAATAATAACTAATACAAATCTATATCAGTATAACTAATACAAATCTGAAAATAATTTTGTATGTAAGACGCTCAAGCTGCAGATTGCTAGAACGTCAAGTTTTGCTCAACATATTTGAGATTCCTATAATATAATTAGTTCGATCCAACCAAATTATTTTTCTGTATTTGATTAAATTTTTAGATATGTCAACAAAATCGTTTTTCCTACGTTGATGATCGTATTACTTTCATATAACAGAATATGTAAAAATTAACGTAACACAGATTTATAATTAGATTTAAATTTAACTTTTATATTATTATTACAATTCAGAAATTCAGACACGTTGTTCACGCAATACTAATTGCAAGTTCCTTTATGCAGTTAAATAGAAGATATAAGCATTGTCTCCCATAAGGGTGTAAAAGCGCGGCGCAAATGTCTAAGATTTAATTAAAACCCACAGAATCGGGGAAACGATCTCACCATCCTAAACGAGGCGGAACGTCGTGAACGATCGTGCAAGAACGCGCGAGTAACGTCTCATTGGGCACAGATTGACCTAATTACCGAAAGGAAACGTCTGGCGCGCACGAGTCACCTAGTTGGTGCATTTGGTGCGTTGCCTGCTTTCTGAAAATTGTCTTCCATTCATAGATTCTTATGACACGAAGAAAATTTAAAGCTGCGATAGTCTGCCATGATCTGCAGAAATATCACTGAGTATAATGGCCATTAAACGTGTTTTAAATCTATCTTTTTATTTGTACGATTCATTCTTTCTCTGATAACTTTTTTCGTTTTATAATTCTAGTTACAAATTTTGAAAAATATTAATAGTATGAAATAACTTTTTTTTAAAGAATATATTAGGTGTAATAAAAAGAAATCCATCTATTGGAAAAATAATGGATTTCTTTTTACTACACCTAATATTTTCAACACATATCCATCTTATAAAATTTTTGTTAAAGTTTACTTGAAATCTTGAAAGAAACTATTGACGAAAAAATCGTATATCAATATTACAGAAAAAAGGAATATATGTACTTTTATCGAACTAGAAATATATCGGGCTAACATATAATACGCATTGCTTTTATCGACTATCTATTAATACCGCCATTGTCTTTTGTACATTTATAAAACATTCATGATACGAACATTTGTCAAACCATAGAAGCAGTCATTGAAATTCTGGTTGCGTCACATATTGATTATAGTAAAGCCAAAAATTTTACAGAAAATTTGCAACACTGTCAAATTCATAATGTCACATACAAAATTTGAGTTATTTTTAATCGTTCCTAAAAATCCCCCCTCCTACGTCTATTCAATATATCGTTAATTTAATTGAAACAATGCAGCTGAAATTTAATTCAAGAAATGTATTAATTTGATTCAAATTTGATTTATTATATTTACTACATGCATACGTAATATAAACGCTATTTATTTTATAAACAAAATAATTCAATCACAGAAATGAGTTCATTAGATGTTATTTTTTTAATCAGATGGTTTTGAATGAAAATAATACATTTTGACACATTTGAAAGTTAAAAATAACCTTAAAAAAAATAAAACAAAATATAATCTTTAAATTGGTTTCTCTTAATATAATTCTCTTAATTTAATAGTGCATACCGAATGCAATTGCAAATAAAATCTGCTGTTGCGGATGAATAACATAATAATCAATTAACTAGTTTCAAATTAGAAACATTTAAACTACTAAATTAACACGACAAAAATTAAAAACATTCAATGCGTTTAATTGCGCTATCGAATAAACGTATACAAAAAATGAAATGATAGGCATAATAAAAACATGGCAAGTTTTTATAATAAAATATAAAATGCATAAATATATAATTTCTTCTTCTTTGCAACATCTATATCTATTTGAGACGTGATGGATGTCCCCACATTTTAAATACGGTGTTCAATGTCCAATCAAAACAAAATAAAGTTCGTACACGTGCTATCGGCACATCGCCAAATCGACATATATCTCTTTCGCTGACAAAAGAAACAACAATAATGATGCGACACATGCGACCGAACGTCTGGAAAATTTATGATCTATTGCAATCTTATCTATTAGTAGATTTTGATCATACTTTGATGCAAAATGTCAATGAAAAAGTTACTTTAAAAGATATTTAAAAAATATACTATCCATTTCTAAAATAAATTTTAAAATATAATTGTATTGTGCTTTTTTATTAATTTAATTATTGCAAAAAATATTTTTCTTAATTTAAATTATGTCCTACAAAGGACCTTATGATGTTCAATTTCAAATAAATAGAGACAGAGATGTGTATACAAATTCACATAGAAATAATTAAGCACTAATTGTAGAGATTCGCTTTGACCGATTATAGGAATTCTTTATAGTTAATTAATTATATTAATTTTAATCATGTCTGCATAAATTTTTCTGATAAATTTTCTTATCATGATATAAAAATTACGAATTATAAATATTTATACATATTAGCGGAAATATCAACTGGAATATCCATTTGAGACGCATTATCACGTTTCACGTTTACAGTGAGAATTGCATATTTTCACGAGGCCGTTTCGCAATGAGAGCGGCAAGCGTGTAAATGTCTCGCAAACTGGAGAGACTTCATTCCCACCGTAAAGCACGGTTTTATTTGTATAGCCGTTTTCCAGTTGAACGTAGCGGTGCGCAGCAGTTTGTCAATACGATTATATGACAGATTTATCTGCAATAAAATGCACGTGAGTATACGACGGCATCATCGAAATATTCTACGGCCATCTCCGTTTAGTCTCACAAATACTCAAACTTGATCCATACAAAAATCAACAAGAGAGAGGTTGGTTATGAATACAAACCTATTTTTTCTCATTGTGGATTTAATGCCCAACTATCCAAATACCGAACAGATATCCCGCTCGTTTTTCATGATCAAACATCATTAAATATAGATACGATTCATGATGGCAATTATGCGAGCGTAAACAAGTTCGCGCTGCCATGAATCATCATTTCAAACGCAAAAACTTGTTTTGCGTAACGTGTATAATACGCTTATAATGATACGTGAATCAAGTAAAATATAAAAAAATAAAAGCGAAAATAGAAGAAAAACAAAACATGTCATGCACGAACGTGATGATCGTTTACTCTCGCGCGAAAAGAGAATGATTTACTTTCATGGCACGATGCTGCCAAATTTTCTAAGTACGAGATCACTCACATCATCTTCCTTCGTCACAACGATCTTTCTTCACTTCTGACGATCCTCCTTCCCTCCTGCTTCTCCCGTTACGACACGAGCTGCGGCACAGCACAATCGCGAAGAGGAGCGACAGGAATCGCGCGCGAACACAGCTTCGGCACTGGCTCCTCTCGAGAAATAACAGCCGGCGATGTGCTTGAATCACCGATCGATGGAGGTCGCGATCCTCCGATCGACTCCTCTACTCTCTCACACTCTAATCGCGGGTGAACGCGCCCCGTTATGGCGCCACGTTCGGTGATTAACGACGGTGCAACAACCACCGCGACGTGACACGCGCGTACGAATTTCCATCGCTCTCGAGTTTCGCGTGGCGCGAACCAACCAGCGGCACGGCCGAGAGCCAATTCTCACCAGACGGGAGCACTGCGCACGCGACGAGATCGACGCCGAAGCACGATAACGAATATGATGACGACAACGATGACGGCGACGAGTACGTCGACGACGACACAACAACCGGCACGCGAGAGGACCCTCTTCCGTCGCGCACGATTCGCCACCACCGACGACGGAGAGAGAGAGAGAGAGAGGACGACGCGACGTTCTCGTGGATGTCGCAAGCGCCGTCGCACGGCCAGTCGACGAACCGTCGAGGGAGAACGAGCGAGAACGACTGACGAGACCAGTGGAAACAGAGAGCGGTGCACCGGCGCGCGTCCCGCGTCTAGTGGAGTAGAGCGATGAGCGGCGCGGCGCGGCGCGGCGCGGCGCGACGCAAAGCGACGCAAAGCGAAGCGCCCAGTAGAAACGGAAAGCGACGCGGGGTGGACAGTGGAAACGGACACAGCGCGAACTGCAGACGCGGGGCGGCGCAATGTTTTGGCGTACGCGCCGCGTTCTCCGTTCTTGAAAGAACATCAACGGAGACGGAAAGAGTAACATCGACGGCGTGCGCAAAACGGAAACGCACTCGAAACGACCGAACGATATAATGAATGAAATCTATATGTGACAAAACGAATAGATTTTCGCGTCCTTCCTTTTCAGTCGCTTTCCGCGCGCTGCATCGCGGCGCTCTCGACGTCGAGACGCCCATCACTTATGATGTTCAACCACCCCCCCCCCCCGTTTGTCTCGCGTCCTTCCGTTACTACTGTACCAGGGGGAGGCGTTCCGATGTCGCGCGCACACGCGCGTGCTCGTTTCTCCTCTTTTTCCTCTCTCCGTATTTTCCTTGCACCTACCATCCTACCTTTTTACCGCTTTCCTTCTTGCGTCATTTGAATCCGTCTGTGTACAGGGTGAAACATTTATCTTAGCCGTTTTGAATAACTCCACGGCGACATTGCCGCGTGGCGAAATTGACGTAGGTATGTGTATATTGATATCGGACGAACGTAATGAATATTTCGGATGATGTATCTTTGGAGAAAGACGTATCCGTGAAGGAAAGTATAATAAATATTATTAAAATCTATAAAGAGATACAGTAAACAATGATAAACGTATTTCTGCTTCTCATAATATTATGAAATAAACGTTACGTTTATTAAACTCGAGAAAATTAACTTAAGAGAAATCGTAAATTCCATCAATGTCGAAAAGATGAATGGTAACTTCATAAAATATCGCGTTGTAACATGATATTCGTTCTGTCGAGGCGAAATGACTCGTGGATGGATCGAGGAAAAACAAACGATTCTTTTTTTAAGATCTCCCAGAACAGAGAGCCTCGAGATGTATCTCCGATATATGAGCCCGGTACGAGGAGAAGCGTGGACAGGCTTACTCCCGAAGTACAAATGTTATTGTTCGATCCGCTACTGGTGTAGTATTTCCTCGCGGTGCCTAATGCAAACGTTTGTTTTCGCAATCCGCGAGATGCGTAATCACGCGTTTCGGGCAAAAGAGGTGGGATCTAGCAGAGCCGAAAGCAAACGCTAAGACGAAAGAGAGAAAAAGAGAGGCAGCACGCAAAGTCATAATCTTGAGTTCGCGTATTTCTCGATCCCGTAGATAACGCCAGAAACCCAAGGGACTGGTAACGTGTACGAGAATTCGATTAAGCTCCCGTATGTACGAAAAAATATACAATAAAATATTGTAAAACCACGAAATTGTCGATGTGCTGAAGAATATTTGGAAAAATAGTAAGAATATAAATCTGTTGATTTGTTCATTTTTAAGAACTTAAAACGGTATTCATAGTTCGTTCTTATTTTAAGACCGTCTTAAGTAATGTTTTAAGATGTTAATACGGTTATCTGATTGGCTCGTGATATCTTAAGACTGTACTTAAGACGGTCTTAAATATAAGATCCGACTATGAATGCCAGCCTTAATGTTTATTACGTAAACAGGGCGTTGCCTGATTGATGATGAAATTTGCGACTCAAAATAATATAGTAAAAAAGTTCTCAGAAAATTAAGTAAAAATGTCATTTGAAAATTATATTAAACAATAATGCTTTAGATAATAAGGGTTTAAATACGGCTAATTACAAGCTATATGTATTTACACAGCCACTTGCGCGTGCGATAGTATTAATGCTAGTATTAGACGCTAATAAGCTCATTAATACTTACAACTATGACTATCTAAACGTAATCTGTAACTGGCCATATTTAAACCGTTATATCTCAGAAACTACTGCTTACAATGTAAATTTACAAATAACTTTTTTATTTAATTTTTCGAAAACGTATCTTGCTATAGTATTTTGAATCGTGAATTTTGGGACATGCTTTTATCTTACATTATATCTAGAGAGAGTTTTCTCTTAATTTTATTACGGAAATTAGATTGCAGATACTATGTGTGCATATACGATGGAGATATGGTCTATTTTCGAACGACGCAAGATCGAGGTAGCGCAAACCGCGAATTGATGACGGTTAAGTGCATTAACTGAGAAAATTGCGATCCCGAGTCATAGAAAGCAAAAGATCGACCACGGTAATCATAAATCGCAAAAGTTGCTTTGCAAAAATCGCATCTTGTTTTATTTTAAATTAAACGGTATATAAATAAAAAATAAGTTTTCAATTTTGCTATACTCAATCTATATCTAAATGTACATGGACCTGATTCTTATTCTAATTATTTTAAAATTAGATTGTATCTCTTTTGCTTCCACTTCTGTTCAAATGTATATCATATATATAAATGTATACGACGTAAATGTAAATATTTCAAGTGTATTGAGTTTAAGTCGGTGAATTTGCCAAGCCTGAATAATTATGCGATTCAGCTATTCCCCCTACAGAAAATCAAGTCTTTTTACTCAGTTTAAATAATAATGAGCTCTCTCTTCTTTTTTCGCAAAATTCGCGACGCATGGAACTCGAAAATTTAGAGCTCTCTTTCTCTAATAGATTTACGAAGCGAAGAGAGAACGCGAGGAAAGACCTCTATTTGTCTCGTTCGCTTAATTAGCACTCGCTAAACTAAATAAAGTCCCGGGATTTATTAGACACGTGTGCCATACTAGAACTGGATACTCGATCTTACGGAGAGGAATACGAACGTATGTCTCAAGTTGATATGTATTCAGCGAAATATTCGTCATATCGAAACTTTTGCATTTGAGCACAAGAAATCGATTTCAGGAAATTTATTTTCTATTAGTGATATATAGACTTTAATTTTTATTTACTTTAATTCTATTTTCTTTAATTTCTTTATTAATTCTAAATACCTTTTACTTCAATGAAAATCTCTTGCGATGCTCTTTAAAATAGAAAAATTTAGTTTCAAATATTAAAGAAATTGATTCTAATTTTATCTTACGCTGACAATTGCGCAACACGGCCTTGACCTCTAAAGACAATTCTACGCTGAGAAAAATAGTCTGGTTGGGTTAAATAATAATTCTGATGGAAAATGGATGAATCAGAATTTTCTGGTTAAATCTGCTAGAATTCTAGTTGAATTAACTAAAATTCTGATTGATATAATTATTCTGGTAAAAATAAGAACTCTAGTAGATTTTACCAGAAATATTGTATTAACCAGAATTCCGGTTATCTCAACTAGAATTCTAATAAATTTAATCAGAAAATTCCGATTCGTCCGTTATCAACCAAAAATTTTTTTCAGTATAAGATATTTGTATCAGTAGACGCGATTCTCTATCCTATGTTTTGATTACTAAGAAAGCGAGCGCATTATTGTTATTAAGTACGTGTGCAAACAAATTGGTTTCTCTATCTCTACATCTCGTATGCTGTAACGTCATTGTCACATATTTAAACGTCTGCGTATACACGTCGTAATTTACTTGTACGTAACTAAGTCACGACATCTCAGAATATTCTGCGCTGTAGTAATAGCTTAAATATACGATCCAGTATTTGCAGATAAGTATTGGCTACAATGGCTACATTTAAATAGAAACTATGTGGCACGATTATAATAATAATGTTACAGCTCTTATAATTCTTAATGCGCAGATTAATTATGAGGCAAATGTTAGAAAAGGGATACTTTAATCTCTCGCAAAATATGAATAAAGTAGCTTAAGTTCACAGATTACATAACACAATACATTAGCGGCAGACTTTCTTATGCTCGTCATCGCACAGAGTGCATAATCCTCGATGCAACTACTCGGGAAATTTTTAACGAATTTTTTCTGAAGACTCTATACTTATTTATTCATATCTTGATCTTTTTCCGTGTATAAGGCAATAAATTTACTTGAAAGCAGTACATTTCGTAAGCCATAAACATTGCCTTTTTCCATTCAGACGACGCGTGTGATGTGCTTTGAAAAAAAAGGGAACGGATTTAATTAAAATATTCCAAGCGCTTTTCATGCCAGCACGAAATACGCTTTGCACGCTAGATAAAGATATTTTCCCTCTGAGTACAATGCACAATCCGAGAGAGCCTCGCCGAGATAAATTCTAACCATCTTTTCGCGTAAAAACGCACCCATTACGCACGCAAAACGATAGATATTTCGCGCTCGCTCTCTTCCGTGATTCGCGATTACTTATAGATACGACCATTACATTGACGTCATCGCGAAGAGAAAAGATCGAGCGACGATGATAAAAACAACACTCGGCGCCTATTTATTGCTTGAAGAAACGTCATAACATCGAGACGTCGTCACGCATTTTTGGCAGTGGATCAACTAACGATGAAACGAGTGCGATCTGCTCTACGCTCTATAGCCTCGGCTCTACCGTTTCATTCATCATGGTTCATTTGATTAAGCCCACGCGGCTTATGGCTGCGCTCTGCGTGAATCGTGTGCACCACGGCCATGGAATGCTTCCAAAAGCCATTCGGAACATAACAGAGATCGAAAAGAGCTTATCGGCCGTTTACCAGAAATTTTCGCTGACGTACATTCGCGGTAGATTTCGCGAAATCGTTCCACAGCGCACGTGCACGTCGTCGTTGCGGCCTACGCTAATGAGCATTCCGACATTATCCCCACTCACCTCAAATCGAGAGCGTGATATGCATTAAGAACAATGCGACGTACGCACAAGATACTTTCGTAACTTTCGTGTTGTTGGAAGATTACCACAAAATCTTTCCACGACGTAATTAAATTAATAAATTTGCACGTCAGATTCTCCTTAAACATACGTATTTTTATATTTCATTAAGAAATATGGCTAGTAAATTATGATAATAATTAACAAACCTTTCCTTTTGTAACACAAAAATTTCCATT